GCTCGCTCAGCGAGCCAATCACAATCCAACACTTTTGGGGTCCACGTAGACACCATGACTACGTAGACCCCAATCAGGGAGTACGTAGACACTTCCTATATTAAACTAGATCGTACGCTGTGACCTCATTCTGGTTCATTGGGAAGCGCATATATGCACTCAATTTGGAACCAAATGAAAGACACTCTTTTAAAAAAGAAGTGGGGGAAGGGGTGAGGAGGAGGGGGCGGGGGCGTCGGGATGACATGACAAGAAAATATTGTTTTGTTTTTCATTGTGCACCTTCCCATAGTGTGCTCACTTCGAAGCGAAATTTCTGTAGAGTGAAAGGACCGGTGCCCACGATAGTACATGTACGCGTTCTAGGATATCATAATTCAAGTCGATGGATGTCACTCCGCGGGGAATAGTTGTTGATGGTTAGCAGATGCTCTGGTGTGGTTTGCTCCTTCTTTGCTGTCACACATCTATCGTCCTGATTTCTGCTAATTTTTTGCGTTCGTTACTCTCGATTAACACCTCTAATCTTCGTCACTTGTACGACATTATTGTGTTGCAAATGCCGTAAAACGCATACTAAAACTTCGATACAGAGAAATGTCAACATAATATGATTCTCAAACCTACTGACTTGGTGTGTCATACACACCCTAAATGAGTAGGATTTTCTGTAGCACCGCTAGGTGCTTGTGGATAGTGGCAAAAAATCTTTCATCTTCATTCAACCCACTGGGTTTACGAGAAGAGAGTGGCTTGGGGGACTTTGGACCATCCTCCCACTCAAGTCGATGTATGAGCCGGTCACGACGTTCGAGATGTCACCATTGACTTGTGTATTATATTAAAGGAAGTGTCTACGTACTCCCCGATTGGGGTCTACGTAGTCATGGTGTCTAAGTAGACCCCAAAAATGTTGGACTGTGATTGGTTGTAAAAGAGATTGGTTGGCAAGAGCTTGTTTTCCAATGCAGTGGTGCCCCAACGGTTGCCCCAACCACGGGATATAAGTAATAGAAGAAGAAGAAGAAGAAGAAGAAGAAGAAGAAGAAGAAGAA